TCTTAGAAAAAAACTTGGTCTTTATGGGGTGATGCTCATTAATCAAACAGTCATTCAATAATCAAATAAATGGTAACATTATAACAAGGACAAGGGGAAATATGATGCTATGAGAGCATATGACCTTGTCAACCAGGTCAAAGAAGCCCCTATAAAGTGAGGAAGACGATCAACATTAGCTAGAAGAAGGAGGAAGGATATTCCTGACATAAGAACAAGATTTGCAAAGTCCTGTTCAGTGAGGGGACCCAGCTCTCCTGAATTCAACTCTAACTACCTCCAACTTCATCCCAAGAGTTTAATTACAAAGCTTTACCATCAGGGACTACCTATTCACCAGAGATAATGCCATAGTGATCAAGTGCTACCAAAGTTTTTTTTTCCCCATCAAGGGTTTACAATTTAGTTCAGCTGTGAGTGAGAGACAAACTATTCTCAAGTTTAATCAGAAAGAAAATATTAGTGCGTTCATCAAAACTATAATAATAATTGATCAACTGATGCCCAATAAAAGATTAATCATCTGTCCATTATATACAGTGCTGAAGTTGAAAGGTATGCCTTATTGTATGCTTTAGACCAATCTTATCCCCTTCTCTATATAGACACCAATTTGCAAAAATAATTATACTTTTTCTGAATTCAAAGCTTTGGGTACTATTGTTGACTGAAGCCCTTGAAATGTGCACTGATTACAGTGCCAATGTAATGTACATTAGAAAAGAGTTCAAGTATTATACAATAACCTTAAATCAGAGAGAGTTATAAGAGGCTAATAATGAAGATGAAGTAATGCTGAAAGTGCCAGCCTTTTATTCTGAACTCAAGAAATGCATTAGAAAATATGTTTTAAGAATAGGTCATAGAGAACATAAATGCAAAGTAGAAGAAAGGAAAGGGGAAAAAAAAAACTCTTCTGGGCTGGGGGAGGAGAAATAGAGTGACTGAGTGGAAGAGAGGCTGTACCTTAAAAGGATATGCATAATTTAAAGAATAAAGATTGAAGAGACTCCAGGACGCAAGTACCATTCATTGAGATATAGTGGCGATGGTTTCAAAAATAACCAGGAAAATGCTGCCTGCAGTCTATAAGAAGCAGCATTTGAATTTAAGAGTACATTTATATGAAAGTCTTTCTTTTTCTCTTTTTTTATTATAGATATGTGGGGAACAAGTCAGGATTAGTGGCACAAGCAGGCTTCATGCATTTCTATACCATGCTCTAAGAGGCCAACCTATTCTTTCTAACAACTGTTTAATTTCCACTAGTCCGTAATAATTTATACAAACCTTATGATTAAGCATTTTAACATAAAACAGAGAAATGTAAAAAAGTAAGTAGATCATAAAATCATTTAGAAAGAAAAATAAGGATTAAAAATAACAATGGTACATAGGGAAATATTGATCTGTAAATTATATGTCACATGAAGGTGAGCTGAAAATCTGGTCTGGGCTTCCTAGCTTCCAACACGAAGAGGGAAACACAGTGGGTTACTGCAAAGTTCTCAAAACTTTTGGCCTCAAAAACTATTTTACACTTTTAAAACATTGAAAAACCTCAAAGAGTCTTTGTGTGGATTATATCTATTGACATTTATCTTATTAGCAACTAAAACAGAAAAATATAAAAAAGACTTGTGAATTCATCGTAAAATAACAATAAACCTATTACATGTTAACATAAATAATTTTTATGGAAAATAAATAAATTCTTCCCCTCCCCCCCAAAAATAAAAGATTGCCATTGTTTTCCATTTTTTAAAATCTTATTATTATCTGGCTTAATAGAAAATAACTAGATTCTTGTATCTGCTACTGCATTCAGTGTGTTTTGATACCACACATCCTGCAGCCTCTAGAAAATTTCATTATACGTTCATGAGATAATGGAAGTGCAAATTTGTATAGCACTTTCATATTACTAGAAACATAGTTTTCACCTCCAAGACTCCCTGAATGGGTCTCAGGGACCCCTATGTATCCGTGAAAACTTGAAGAAACACAAAGGTTATAGGAATCACAGTTCCTATGATACAAAAACAAATGAGTTGTTTCAAAGAATGAGATCTGAAATTTTTAAAAAATGAAACGTGTTCCCCTGAGTCCTCATAAAGAGAGCGTCATGTCATCTGGTATTCCATCCTTAACACCATCCCAATGATAAACACAATTGCGAGTGGCATATGATCAGGCATTAAAAAGGAGGTGTACACACATTCCCCTATTTCCCATAATTTATAGCTCTGGATACGATGTGAGTTAATGAAATCAATACTTCCTATAATTGATGTCAAGTGCATTTTGTAATTATGCTTTGTGGCCCGTGACTTTTATGAGCTTGCTCCATAAAACAATTAACAACTCCATAAAAATAATACTTTTGACACTGCTATTTTCACTCCCAGGCTTCTGCTAGATCTATGTTGTGAAAAAAGGATATGATACTACTAAACTTCATGATATATTTTCAATACTTGAAAAAGCAATTATTTCTCCTATCTCCAATGATTTTATTTTCATATGCTTTTTAAGTATAAATCCTTAAAAGACAAAATTATATAGCAGTTAAAAGAATAACTTGGGAGTCAGATGCACCTGAGTTTAAATTCCAATTCTCTTCTTACTAGTTTTGTAAACCTGAACACCTTGTTTGATTTATTTGAGCCTCAATGTCATCTTCATGTATGAAATGGGAGTGAAAGCAGCCACCTCACTAGATCATTGTGAGAATGACTGGTAATACAGATAAAACTATAAGCACTGTTCTTGGTATTTAAACGGTGCTGGAAAATGTTAGTTATCATGAACTACAAGTAGTATAGAACTTTCCTGGCTGCCTTTTCCTCCTGGGATCACTCTTTTGGTTATCACTCCAAGGTCAAGGGCACACAAAAGACCCAAAAGGAAGACGAGAAATGACAGGAGAATGGAGACCAAGAGAATGGAAGGCCAGAGAAGATTCAGGAATGGAGCCAGGGACTTGGGACTGGGTTCAGGTCATGGAAGAACTGGAACAGGAATCGAGCAGACCATGAGGAATTCCATGTTCGAACATTTTCATTCCTTCTATGGGAAAGGTAATGAATACCAGTTAACACTGAGTTTCTATGCCTGTGCTTCTATCTCGAGACTCTGTCACAACTGATAAATTGTACTGATTGACAGCTTTCACATAGGACATTACTACTAGGTTCCCTATTGTCATGCTGGTTGACTCTCAACCCCAGGTGATTACTTTAAGCCATTTTTGGTCATATTCATTCCCCTTTTGGGTGATTGGTTTAGAAATTATCATGTGGCCAGGTGTGGTGGCTCAAGCCTGTAATCCCAGCACTCTGGGAGGCCAAGGCAAGAGAATTGCCTGAGCCCAGGGGTTCGAGACTAGCCTGGGCAACTTGGCAAGACCTGGTTTCTACAATAAATGAAAAAATTAGCCGGGCGAGGTAGCACGTGTCTGTAGGGATTGCCTGAGCCCAGCAGGTCGACGCTGAGGTGGCCGTGAGTGTGCCACTGCACTCCAGCCTAGGTGACTGAGTGAGACTCCGACTCAAAAAAAAAAGAAAAAAGAAAAAGGAAAAGAAAATATCATGTGACCCAATTCTGGCTTAGGTCACATGAAACAAAATCAGCTTTGGGAGGAAAGGGTGTCATTGATAGATTATTGTTTAGTAAATGTTCTCTACCTTCATATTCCCACTGTGAGAAAAGTTTACTTACCCACCCCACTTGTGTTGGGCGTGGTCATGTAACTTGTTTTGGCCAGTTGAATGTTAGGAGATGGAGGACCATGGGAATTAAATGAGCTTGCACTATGTAACTTTCTCTTGTTCTGGAGTGATTCGCCAACAAAAGAGATGTTTCAAACATTGCTGCCTTTTAGCCTACACCCCGGAACAAACAAATGCAATCAGACTTGAACCCAATCCACAGCCTGGAGATAATCCTAGAAGACCCTGAAGACTGAAGCAGAATTTCTCAGCCTACAACAGGCAAACCATAGCCAACCCAGATCTATAAACATGAGAATATATGCCTTTGGTATAAGACACAAATTTGGGAACATTTTATTACTCAACATTACTGTGGTAACAGCTGACATATATTTGACATATATTTGGTGAGACAGAATGTCTAGAGAGGAATTCTATAACTCCTAAAAAAAAAAAAAAATACAGACCGGAAGAGAATTCTAGATGTGACACCTGGACCTGCTGCCGCCAGTTTGCAACCATGAGGAAGCCAGACTGACACTGAGGGGATCCCAACCTCGGTGTCATTAGTAACATTGAGCCCACTGATCATGGAAGGCCTGTTTCTTGCCCTTCCTCTGTTATGCAGTTTTGTTGAAATATTCTTAATGTCTATGCCATTTAAGACAATTTTCTATTTACTGCAGAAATCCTCTGATATTTTCTGTTTTGTTTACAAAGAAAACTTAGTTATGCAATGCCAAGACATTGTAAATATACACTGCTGGCAAGTAAAGCATACAGTAATTATCTAATATCTTAAAATTCTCTGCCTCCAAGAAGGTTGCCTTGGGGCCTATTGATGTCAATAAACTTCATTTCTGATATACTTCCTGTGAGGAAACTGTATTTTTGACACAAATAAAATTCTAAGAGTCAAGTTGATAAAATCAAAGAATGAAACGGTGGTTGCCAGGAGCTGGGATGGGGGTGGGGGTGATGGGAAAAGAAGAGTTGCTAATCAACGGGCATACATTTTCAGTCATGCAACATGAATAAGTTCTAGAGATCCTACTGTATAACATTGTCCATAGAGCTTACACCACTGTATTCTACACTAAAAAATTTCTTAACTGGTAGATCTCAAGGGTTCTTCTCCTCATAAATTTCTTTTGAAAAGAAGATCTGAGACGTGTGCTCATGCCTGTCTGCCAGACCAAGCTACTTCCTGTTTTAAAATTCTTCACAGTGCCATGGTCCCTTAGAACCAAGGCATCTGGTAGCACGTTGGGCGGCCCCGCAGGATCTGTCTCTTGCTTCAACAGGGTTTGGACGGAGCAGACCCGGGGACTCCCCTCTTCCAGCCCCCCACTGCCCTCCGATCTCCTCTCCACTTGCAACCTCCAAGACCACCTTCTCGGCCACCTCCTGTTTCTGGGACCAGCGACCACCGTTTTTGCAGTGAGCTCCTTCTTGCCGACCAACCATGAGCTCCCAGGTTCGTCAGAATTATTCCACCGAGGTGGAGGCAGCCGTCCATCGCATGGTCAACTTGCATCTGCCGGCCTCCTGCACCTACCTCCCTCTGGGCTTCTATTTCAATGCGAGGAGGTGGCCCTGGAAAGCAGGGGCCACTTCTGCAAATGCGGCAAAAGCATCTCTTGAAGATGCAAAACCAGCGAGGCGGCCGCGCCTTCTTCCAGGATATCCAGAAGCTCTCTCAAGATGAGTGGGGTAAAACCCTGGATGCCAGGGAAGGCAGCCATGACCTTGGAGAAGAACCTGAACCAAGCCCTTTTGGACCGTCATGCCCTGGGATCCACAGACTTCCATCTCTGTGACTTCCTGGAGAACCACCTTCTAGATGAGGAAGTGAAACTCATCAAAAAGATGGGTGACCACCTGACCAATCTTCGCAGGCTGGCCAGGCCGAGCCTAGGCTGGACGAGTATGTATTTGAAAGGCTCACCCTCAAGCACAACTAGGAGTCCAGCGGCCTCTGGTGGGGGGGCCCTCTCAGAGTATCAGGGCTTCCCCCTCCAGCCACTAGGCAGCTTTTTAACCACCCTGGAGCCCTCTCCCAAACCCTGGACCAAATAAAAATAAAGCTTTTTGCAGCAGAAAAAAAAGAAAAGGAAAGAACCCCAGCATCCAATGAATGCGTGGGGGAAGTAGAACAGTTGGAACTTGGGCTTGAACTAAAACTCTGTACTCTGGTCTCCTCGTTTGTTAAATGATGTTCCCTTTGCCTGGTGTCCCTTTCAACTCTAAGACCACTAAAACTCTGTAAAATGAGTTCTCATGGGTTTCTTGGCCTGCATGTACCCTTATGCCTCAGTGTAACACTGGACAGCCTCAGAGGAAATCTGGCCTTGTGAGCCTCAAGGCAGCCGAGAGTTCAGTCCAGTTCTGCTTGCACTAACCCAGTTTGTCTGAACTTCAGTGCTTCCTTATTCATCCTCCTGTTTCCAGGTTCTCTGAGACCCCTCTTCATACTCAGCCCTATTTTCTCCACTTAAAGTCTTCAAACCTCTCCTTCTCCTAGGGTTTCTGTGCCAAGTAGTCAGGACCAAGTCTGTTTGCATTTTTTTCACACCATCTTCCTTCTGGAAATTCTCTGTCCCCATCAATTTGAAGGTAGCACCTGGCCACTACCACTCCAGTTGATGGCCTACATACATACAAACATTGGTCTGCAAGGGACAGTTGTCCTTTTCTGGTATCCCCAACCCCAAGCCTTGGAATCTGAGGTGGAGTTGCACTTTGTCATCTGAGCCCAGCTGAGACACTGTCATAAACGTGTTGTCTGAAGAAAATTGACTGCATGACAATTTTTTTCAGGAGCCCCTATCAAATTTGTGAAATCACCATTCAATTCCTCACCTTACAATAACATAGAAGGGGCGTTCATTCAATCAAGGAAATTTGGGGAATGAAATTTCAAAATTACAGCATCCTCTATCATAGAAGTACCTACCTCTTAAAGAAGAAATTGGTTTTGCTGCTAGGTTCAGCCTGGAGAAGAGAAGGAAAGATCCCTGGACTTCTCCTCACCAACTGTTCAGTTCTCCTGTCAGAACACCCCAAATATTATACTCACATAACTCTGAAGGCAAGACATTCGTGGTACCCCCTCTCACTTAAACTCTTGGATTCTAATTACTGCTTTGTAGCATCCAGGGAGAATGCAGTGGAATTTGAATATTTGAGAACTGGAAAGATATCAGGATATCCCACATCACTAGAAAAGCCCCGTATCAGTAGTCTGGAGCACCAGAAAATCAGATAACCCCTTGCATATGTAGATAACAATAGCGGCCAATGGATTCCCAAATCTCTTCCCTTTGTGAGGAGGCCAGTGTGCCTAATGCCTTCTGTCCTGGGCACCTAAAGCTTTTCTATCAGTGATGTGTACATACTCACACATACATACACACACACACACACACACACACACACACACACACACACATTTACAGTGAATAAAAGAGGGTCATAATTATCAGACCACAACCTATCTCATGTGGGGAGTTTATTGCTCTTATCAAAGTTTCTTAACCTATTTCTAATTCCTTGTTGCCTTTCAATAAGCTTCTGCCCTTGGTTAATAATCCTGACTTTACTCATCCAGCCAATGTCTACCGAATACCTTTTAGGCACTAAGCACCATGCTAGTTATAAGACTCTTCACTAGACTTTGCAATTAGCTACTGCCACAGTTGCAGTCACCCCCTCTGTTCTGCCAGGGTCAAAAGCAAATGCTTCAATACATAGAGTTCCTGACACTCTTTCCTGGAGCCCACTATTTGATCAGTGATAGTGTTATGCAGAAAATTAAACTGAGCTGTTAAATTGTGTTTCTATATTCAGTCATTCACTCCCTACAACCTTTTTTTTCCTCCCAGAAAACTACTTACAATCAAAAGAAATGGAAACACCATCTGTGCCCCCAAATCAGTAAGTTTTCTTTCTTGAACTCCAAAGCGACCAGAATTCCATTTTTCATCAAGAATAGGAAATCCTCAGTCTCCCATTAAACAGTAATGAGCTATTCCATGGGTTTATTAAATCTTGGAAGATTTCCCATAAAGCTGCCACAGTGATCTTTGTAAATTGTAAATAAGATCATGTCAATGGTCTTTCTCTCTCTTCAAAGAAAGTCTATATTTCTTATTTGGAATTATAAGGCCTTCATGGTCTCTAATAAAACTATCCTTCTTGTTTAGTCTCTTCCATATCTCTATCACAGAAGTTTTAATCATTTATCACTACCTGAAATTACTTTTTGTTTAATAGTTTCCCCACCCCCACCCACCAATGGAATGAGTAAGATCCTTGAGAGATTGGTCTCATTTTCATTTGTTCAATATTCAGAGGAATGCCTGGCTCATAGTAGGTACTCAGTAAGTATTTCAAGTTACTTTATTGATAAAGGAATGACTCCTTGGTCTCTTTTATATTTTATAAACACTCTTGGGGAGGGGACAGCATATTCCATTTCAGGAATTTCTATCTGTCCCCTTGGAAATCACCAACCTCCATTTCCTAAGTCACCCTCCTGAGACTGGTCATGTTTATAATCGTCCCCTTTTATACTTTTAGAAACCAATGAGCCCATTGAACTCATGTGCATTCAAAGAGCCTTGTGAACCATCACAGAACTGTGATTAAGCTTGATACAAGTTGTGGATGCTGTAATATTTTTGGTTTACAGAGTGATTTTTTTTTTTCTTTCTGAGACACAAGGTTCCCCATCTGAACACAAACCAAGAAATTGCCTTCCTTTTCTCTAGTAACTGCAAAATACGGTGCTGAACTTTCGGGAATGTTTTTGATACTGCCGGATCTGAGGTCTTTTCTAGTTGTTACGTGTTAGCTCATTGTGCTGCCAATGACTTGGAATTCTTTAAAACATTCGATTAAAATCTATGGATTTATTAAGCATTAAGTTGTAACTATGGTTTCATTAACTCTGCAGTTTAAAAAAAAGTATTTTCTGGAGAAAGGACATACTGAGGCTGGTTTACCTTAAAGATGTAATCAAAAAGGTGACATGGAGAATGAACTAGAGTGTGGCGTTGTGGCAGCTATCAATACAGTGCTTGAAGCTGTTCTCTAATGACAGGGGTAGCTCAGCCTCCCATCCTTCCATGGGGACATGGATGACTCATAGAACCAGCAAATGTACAAGCTGAACAAGCCCTGAGACATCAGCTTATCCACACCCCCACTATAATTTGATCCAGAACTTTTTGTCCAGGAAAGAAAATTCCATCGGGAATAAGAGAATAGCTGCAAAAAGAATTTCTCTTGCCACCGCCTCTGTCATGGCCAGAGCTGCCAGTCTGCTTCATTGCATGGAACTTTCAGAAGACCGATAGACTTTGAAAGGCATGTTAACTCTTGTGCCTTTCACTAAAAACCATAGTGAGGTTTCAATCCAGTGAATAAACACAAGTGCAAATCCAGTTTGTTACTGGGAATGAGTGTGAAATAAAACCTCTGGAATCCGTCACTAAGAAGGGGGAAAAACAACAGCAGCCATGGAAACACATGTGTAGATTCACAACTGTGTTCACTTTTTTTTTTTTTTTTTTTTGAGTTGGAGTCTCACTCTGTCACCCAGACTGGAGTGCAGTGGGACGCTCCCGGCCACCACAACCTTGACCTGCTGGGCTCCGGTGATCTTTCCACCTCAGCCTTCCAAGTAGCTGGAACTACAGGCGCGCGCTACCACGCCCAGCTAATTTTTTGACTTATTGTAGAGATGAGGTCACGCCAAGTTGCCCAGGTGGGTCTCGAACCCGCGGGTTCAGGCAATCCCCTCACCTTGGCCTCCCAAAGCACTGGGATTACAGGCTGAGCCACCGAGCCCGGCCTGTGTTTACTTTTTACTGATGCCCCAAGATGTTCAATTCATTACCTCTGCGAGGTAAAAGGCAGGGAGAACTGACCGAAAACACCAGGGCATCTTGTGTTCTGAGGAAGGGACAGGCAGCGAAGGATCAGCTCCTTTTCACAGTCATGGATGGAATATTTTCAGAAGGCTATGCTGCCTTTGTTATGAGATGTTGTATATCATCAAAGGCAGAGCAAGGCCATATTCCCGAGGGATTTCACCCTCCTTTCTATGCAATGTCTAAGCAGGCTCATTTATCCCCATCTACTCATTTCCTTCCAGCTGCTACCAAGAACCCCAAAATGTTCAGCTCCAAAGTTAATGTACATTTACAGCCTGAGAGTATTTTCCTTTCACTGAATTGAGAGAAGAGAAAGGAACAGGGAGGGAAGGGGGAGGTAATTTAAGTTGCTCTATTGTTGGGAGTGAGGGGAGTAATTCTTGCTTATATCAGCAGCTTGCCGAGTCCCACAATCATTCCTACCCCCTTTATTTTATTTATCTCTTTACGGCCTATCTGATAATGCTATAACCATTTCCTGTTGTATACTGGCTGAGGAAGCTTTCTCCAGGCCCAAGAGCAAATCAATAAAAGTAAGCCGTAGCGATTCATAAAAATAAAATTGTCATCATTATTGTTCAATTATTGCTGTGTCTGTGGAAAGAATCTCAAGAACTGAAGGTTTCTTGGCTAATATTTATAATCTGCGTTGAATGGTGCTAATGAATGAGTGGGTGTGCATTAGACTGAAATGCGATGGTATTTGATTTATACCAAGTCCAGGTCTGATTGCTAATGTTAAATCCATTAAAGTGTCTCTTAGATCTGCCTTAATGTACTCCCCTGCATATAATAGAGCTTAAACATACCCGTTTACTTAGCTTTTCATTATTGGTTGAATATTTGTCTTTATTACATTATCCCCATGATAAATTTGACTTATGATAGTTTAAAAAGCAGCACTTCAGGAAAGCTAAGCTTTTAAAAAACTACAGAAGTAACTCCAGATTCCCCAGTCTTCCCACAGATAAAAGAGCAGAATATCCTCAAATAATTATTATTTTTAAAAGTTCAAACTGTTAAAT